GCCCCCCGCGCCCGCAGCCCGGCTGCCCCGGGACGCCGCCGCCGCCGCCGCCGCCGCCGCCGCCCGGGGACCCCAGCTCGCGGAGGCCCCTGTGCCGGCCGGGGCTGCGGGAGGACGGGGCTCGGGGGAGCTGGCGGCGCCCCCCGGCCCCGGGCAGCCGGGAGTCACCGCCGCTTCATTCTCCGCAGCCCCTCGGGCGGGATGGGGAGGAACGGGGGCTGTCCCCGGCGCTTGGCCTCCGGCAGCGCTCCCGGGAGTCCTTGCGGGCGGCCGGAGCCCGAGCCGGAGCCGCGGTGCCCGAGGCAGACCCGTTCCTCCACCAGCTGCGCCCCATGCTCAGTTCCGCCTTCGGCCAGGTAAGGGCCGCGCCCTGCACTCCGCCCCCGGCCCGGGGTCAGGCAGTGCTTCCCCCCCCCTCCCTTTACCCCACCTCCTGCCCAGGGTCACCTGGCCAGCTGGGCTCCAGCAACTCGCCGAGCCGGGACCCGGGGGGGGGGGGGGGGGGGAAGGGCAGACTGGGGAGAGGGCTGGCATCTTGGGGGGCAGAGACGTTGGAAACCCGGCTAGCTTCATCTCTGTGGCTTCAGAGGCGAGTCGGGGGACCAGCAAACAACAGAGAGCCCCTCTCTGGCCCCTTGACCAGCCTCATCGTCTCTCCTGACCTGGGCTCGACATCTGCCACTCTTTGGCCAGCTGTCCCCTCTCTTCTTCATCGTGTTCGCTCGCTGTGCTTACTTCCCGCCCCTGGTCCGAGGTTCCTCCGGTCCCTTTCTCTACCCTCTGCTGCGTTCCTTCCCAAACAGATTCAGCACCATCTGCGCTGTCCACTGCTCGGCTTTGAGCTAGCACAAAGAATCCGGCTCTCGGTTCTTTTGCCGTCAGTGGAGTTGCCGTTTCTGTCCACTTCGTTTAAGGGCACCGATGCCCCTCGATTGGCACTGGAAGCCTTCAGCATGAGTGCCAGCCCTGGAAGCGGGACTTTAGGGCTGGAAGTATGCCCGGAGAAGTTGAGACACGAGGGCCGACGCGGGAAAGGGGGGCTGGGGTTGGAACCTTTGCTGCTGGACTGTCCGGGACCTAGGTTCTGAGGCGCCGTCTAGGGCAGAGTGGAGCAAACTCAGCTGGAGGAAGGGGTTCCAGCCCCTCTGTCCGGCCCGCCCAGCCCACGCTATCGTGACCCAAAGGAACTGAGAGTTTAAATCAGCCTGGGAACTAAATGGGGGGCAAGTCAGGGAAAAGTGTCAAGGACAAGCAACTTGGACTGAGTTAAAATTTGTGGTCACAGAGTCTGTGATGCCAATGACCGCTGAAAGGCATGGACAGCCAGGCCAAATGCAGCCAGGGAAGTGGAAAAGTCTGCACGAGTACCCAGGAACGTGGGCTATGAGGGAAGGTGGCAATAAAAGGGCACCGTGGTGGTGAAGGAGGCTGTGGCAGAAGGGAGAATTTACGGGAGAATTTAGTGTAAGAGGAAGTCAGAAGTCTGGGCTTGGAAACTGTTTTGTGGCTGGATATGGGGAAGTATAGAATGAACTGCTGAGTTCTGCAGGTCGGCATTTTGGACATCCCATTGGGACTTCAGTTAGGTCACCGGTTTTGAAGTGATTTGTGGCCACACTGAATCCAAACCCATTTACAGATGGATGAAGTTTGAATCCTGGAGTCGAAAAGGCCCTTGGGAGGTTGTCTCAGTCATCGTCCTGTCTTTGATCAGGAGTATCAGGCAGAAAGGTGTCTATCTTTTGAAAATAGACTGCCAGAATTAGCAGGGTGCAGTGGGGGACAAGAGAATGGAATGAGGTGCTGGGGGAGAAATGAGTAACTGAACTCAGCAATCCTTGGGATTTCTTTCTTTTTAATGTTTTTGGGGGTCTTTCAGTCCTCTGAGTTTGACTCAGGCAAAACTCTCACTGGTGCAGTAGTGAGATAGGATGTTGCTACAGTCAGGGGAAGGTTGCAATGCAGTCATCTGATGGCAGCATCCTGCCTGAGAGTGTATTCGATGGAGCTTGGATAAACTGTATGGAGTGTTCTGAGAGTAGGCTTTGTCTTCAGTGTCCTAATGGTTTCGTTTAAGCTAAACCAAATGGGTTAGTTTCAGCTTCCTGGGTTCTCTGACATATGGGAGTAGCATTGGGACAGTGGGTTGTGCCATGGCATTGCACAACCCTTCTCCAAATGCTCTTATGTAGCAGCTGATTATTGCAGAGGTCTGACATTAATGCAGTAACACATTCCCCCAGATTGCAGCAGTGGCCCATCGCTTGGCTTGGTAGCGCAGTGGTGTGTTGATATATTCTTACAGGGGGTACTCTGTGTCATATGGCTGCAAATGGCTCTCTGGGATGGTGATCTTGAGGCCAGGCTATGAAAGCTTATGTGGTGAGGGGCTGGCTCCAGGGAGAACCTTGCCACAGTTAATTAATGTGTCAGTGCAGGGCAAGTTTATATGATGGTAGTACAGGGTGTTGGGGGCAGGGAGGGGGGACAGACTGTGATATCAGTGAATCAGGATGTTAGGACCTCAGGGCCAGAATGTGAGGGTGTGGCCAAACAAGGGTGCAGCATCACAGATCCCCCAATTGTTCAGTTCTCTGCTGACCATGTTGGTCCTGCTGTGTTTATTGACATGGAATTCTACAGTGGCTGTTCAGAGAAGCTCAGCTGTGTGTTCATGGTCTGCTTTCTGCTTTCTTAGCCCATAAATGAAGAGATTAATCCAGCCCAGTACCCTGACAACCTTTCTGAAATGCCACTGGGGTCACTGGAATCAGTGAAGCAAAAATGTCCCATCAAATATTTAATACCTCCTTCTGGGAGCCTCTCTGGCTAAAGGGGCTGTGGGCTTTGTCTTCAAAGTCCAGTTAATTTAGGGTTTACACCCTGGGGAGAATGTAAAGATTCCTTTTTATGGAAAAAAAAATGGTTTGTTTGTTCTAGACCCTCCAGACACCGGTCACAAAGAGAGCAATTATTCTTTCCTAACCTCTCTTTGCCCTGGCAATTTCTCAGTCTCCATAGATGGATCAGGGGCCCAGCAATGTCTGGTTAAGATAAAATTGTGCCATGGTGAATAAAGTAGGTAGAAAATGAACTATCAAGTCTAACTCTGTGGATTCCAGTTGGGAGGTGGGATGCTGATGGAGGCTTTTAACATCAACCCCTCCCTTTTACCTTTTCATAATTACAGAGCCAGGGATTGAAATGAAGGGCTGACGATGAAAGTGCTTCAGGAAAGTGAAATCGTGCCAGTGCCTAGCCAAGGGCCTATTTGGGTGTGCCTTTGGCAAGGTGACTTGACGTGGTAGAAAGAGCATTGACCTTCAAGTCAAGAAGATCTGGGCTTCCCGTTCGGGCACAGGCATTTAAGAGCCATTTGACATCACTTTATTATTGTTAATAATGATGATGATGATGGTGATAACTGGAACTTAGTTTTGTAATGTGCTTTACAAATATTATTTTATTTTATTCTCACAACAGCCCTGGGAGGTAGGTGTTATTATTATATACATTTTACAGGTGAGGAAACTGAGGCTGAAAGGAAGTGACTTGCTCAGAGTCACAGCTAGTAAGTATCTGAGGCTAGATTTGAACTCAGGTATTCCTGGAGACACCTGCAACACCTAGCTATCTCTTTACATTTGTGGGTTTCGATTTACCTATCTGTAAAATGGAAATGCAGTGTTGTGTAGTGGATGGTTGTGTCACCCTTGGCAAATCACTTACCACTTCAGTGCTTCAGGTCAGAGATAATCAGGACACGTGGTCTGCCTTTTGCACCTGGCTCACAATGCCTGGGAGTGGGGCCTAAACCAGATAAAATGTAATTGGGGAACATTTAACAAAATAAATACAAATGCATTAAGTACAGATAATCGTATGAGGTGGAGGAGTCTGGAGAAAGACCTTGATATCAGTGCATCATTGTGTTAAGACCCCAGGGCCAAGATGTGAAGATGTAGCCCTGCAAGGATGCAGAATCACAGAACCCCCTTTTTGTGATTCAGAGAAGGCTCTTCCCTGGGAGCTGCCTACCCCAGTGAAATCATTGCTCCATTTCTATCTCTAGCCTCAAACGGGAATGACAGCCAACATGGTGTAGAAAGACCCAGGTTCAAATCTCAACTCAGACCCCAAGGCTCGTAGGGTCCCAACTTCAAGTTCCCTCTTCAAATTCAGTTTCCTAACTGTAAAAGGGCTTGAATTTGATGGTCTCTGGTGCCCCTTCCACCTCTCAATCTAAGACTCTGTGAAAAACTGCCCTCAGTGGGCAATCAGTGTGCTAATTACTCTACGTTATACATCCCACTGCAGCCAAATTCAAACACATCTACTTTAATCTTCCTTGTAAGCAGTGGCCTGTGATGAGTAGAAGAGTCTACCCAGCTCCTGCTGTACTATCTCCCCTACCCTTCCCTGGGAATGAGGCAGAGCCAGCTAAGGGGCACAGCGGATAGAGCTCTGAGCCTGGAGTTCAAATTTTGTCTCAGATACTCACTAGCTGGGCAAGTGGATAACTTACCTTCAGTTTACTCAGCTGTACAATGGGATAATAACAGTATCTACCTCACAGTGTGTTGTGAGGATTAAATGAGATAATATTTGTAAAGCACTTAGCCCAGAGCCTGGTACATAGTAAACACTTATTCCCTTCTTCCCCCTGACCTCCCCCAATGAGGGCTGACCTTATGTCCAGGCTGCAGGGATAGTGATAGGGTGGATCAGGGAAAAAGGCCAATCTCCTTCCTAATCAGTAGTGGGTTTATCCTTCTAATCTCTCTGATCCAATTATTCATTTCTAATATTCCTTAAACCTAATGACTACTTACTGCCACAGCTGGCCAGGAAGGATGACCCCTTCCCCCTCAGCTAAAAATTTACCCTTTCCCTTATCTACTCTAAGTAAATTAAATTCAGTTTTGTTCAACACACATTGGTATAGTGCATAGAATGCTGAATCTGGAGTCAGAAAGGACTGAGTTCAAATCCTGCCTCAAATACTTAACTGTGCAGTCTGGGGTGAGTCACTTAACCTCTCTTGGGCTCAGTTTCATCATCTGTAAAATAGGCATGTTAAGAGCATCTACCTCATAGGGTTATTGTGAGAATCCAAAAGGATAACTTATGTAAAGATTGCTTTCTCATACCTGAAAGTGTTGTCTAAATGGTGACTATTATTATTACTACTCAACTTCTCAGTCTCAGTTTACTCTTCGTAAAATTAGGGAGTTGAACTGAGTGGCCCCAAGGCCTTTCCAAGCTCTAAATCTATGATTCTGTGATGTGAGTACCATTAGTAGGAAGGACAGTAGAATCAGGGTAAGGAGACCCAGGTTTAAGCTTAGCCACAAGC